TTTTGAATATAGGATTAAATTCCCGTAAATAATTTAAAAATATTAAATTAAATTTGCAATAATAATTTGCAATTAATTAGAAATTTTGTCAAATTTTATTGAAATAAGTTTTTTACTATAAAGAATTTTATTTTTGAAAAGTGTTGTTATACAAATTGTATTTTTTATAGAATTCTAATGGAAAATTTAGAAAATAATTAAATTTTAGAAAAATTAGAATTGAAATTAGATAACATAAAAAAGTATGATTTTTAATGAAAATCAGGGAAAAGATAGGAACTTTAATTTAAAAATCTTATTACTTCGATTAACAATAAATGTTTGTAAAATGTAAATTCGGCTAAATGTAAATTCATCAGTTAAATACGAATTTCTTTAACTAGACATAAGGAATTAAAAAAAAAAACTTAAATCCACTTACTTTACTCTCTGCAATGAAGTACAGACACTAAATTTGAAAATGAAATTTTCCTCTCTTCGTTAATTCGCTCTTAAAAGCTTTATAATAAATAAGCAGATTATAAATTAGAATTTCTCATTTGTCTATTATTTCAGATCTTTAGTTCTCGCATATACAGTAATACCGCTCTCTCAGTCTCGCACACACACATATATATATGTGTATTGTTCTGAAATATGTGCCCAACTTATCAAATATGGAGAGACATTATTGTTATTATAATCGTGTAATATCGCAGTGGAGTCGTTGCAAAGCCATCCACACAAATGTGGCGCAAATCACTGAAGGTAATGAATATCGCGCGTTTCCATTCTTGTAATAAAGCGTCGTTTTGATCTGTCCAAAACTTGAATCTCGGTTATGAATAAACTGAATCTTGGACCACTCCATTTACATTAGTCGGAACAATAAGTACCTGTTATTAATTACAAAACGTCATTTCAATTCCTAAAATGGGCATCAGTGGGAATTTAGAAGTAATATAAATTCATTCTATATAGTAATCTCCTCGCACAGTACTCTCTACATCTGAATTATTTAGTTAGTTTTTAAGATAATTTATTTGTGTTTTTTGGCTCGTTAGATTAATTAGTTTAACCGTTTTTAAATAATTTTTAGGTAGACATGACTTAATGATGGTAAAAAATTACTAATTGGTAGTAAAAATTTGCTAGTTAGTAGTTATAAATGCTAATTAATAGAATATGACTAGTATAGTAGATAACTGATGTATTTCAGCAGAAAATAAATAATTGATAGCAGTAAATAACTGATTGATAGAAACTACTAAATGGAGCTGCAGATCAATTGTAGCAGATAACTGCAAAGTGATAGTAGAAATTACTAATTGGTAGAAAAATTACTAAATAGTAGTAAAAAATTTTTTAATATGAAAGCTGCTAATTGATGGTAGAAATTTCTAAATTGTAGTAGAAAACTGCTAATTTTATTTAATAAGTTTACTATTACAATTAAGTAACAATATTTTATTAAGATAGAAAAATATAATTAAGACTAATTTATGCGTTAAAAGAATTATAATAATTATTTTATCGTCCAGTTGGGGGAGTGACGATAAAACAATTTTTATACATTATGGATAAAAATTGTATACTCAACCCAAAATATAATTTTATAAAATAAAAAATGACAGAACTTTTTTTAAATAAGAGTAAAAAAAAAACTATAGAGGAAACAAAGCCAAAACCACAGATAAGATTGTGCCATTGTCCCATCGTAGAAGGTCATTTTTTAAAATTCTTGTAAAACACGATCTTACTTCACAATAGTTTTCAGTTTGATTCCCGCACGCTCACTGTCTGAATTATTATTTGGCTCTCATCCAGATGCATCTCTGGAAAAATAAAAATGCAGGTGACTAAAATGAAAATAAAATAAATCATTCTTTACCAACCATATAGGAAAATTTATTTGCATTATATATTCATCTTGATTGAAAAAATAAAAAAACATAGGTCCTTGAAATTAAATTTATAATTTATTTTACAATCAATTTTTTAATTGAATTTGTTTACAAAAATCGTAATTTTTCTTTCAAATGGATCGAACGATTTTTAAGAAAATATTTATTATTTGAATTTATGTTTACTATCGCAATTTACTATGTTAAAATATTTGGCAACTAATTAAAAAGTTGCGACAACTATTAATAGCGGTGGAAACTTATAATTAGTAAAATTTTATTAACCCCTTCGCAGTCTAGTTAAAAATCGTTTGTGGTCCTAAAACGGTCCGAAAAAAAAGTTTACAAAAGAATATGCTTTCATCATATTGTATAAGGTTTTTGGGGTCGCTGAATTCGAATTTGAGGTCAGTTTTTTAAAATTCAAAATGGCGGATCCAATATAACGACCTAATACGGCGGATAATTTTAAAATTGATACGTTTCAACGGAAAGTCATTTCTCTGGGTTTTCGGGGTCGCTGATTACGAATCTGATGTCAGATTTTCAAAATTCAAAATGGCGGATCCAACATGGCGGACGAGAAAATTAAAAATCCATCGGATTTGTTTAAAACTTCAGGGTTGCAACAGATCAGGGAATTCAGGGAAAATTTAGAGAAAGTAAAACTGGTCAGGGAAATCAGGGAAAAGTCAGGGATTTTTAGTAAAGGTACTGGAAAAAATTGAATTTTTAAAATTCATTAGAAAACTCTGAATTTTTTTTTTTTTTTGTTTGACTCATTAACTATGAAATTACTACGAATTCTAATACAAAACATTGAATTTTTTTTCTATTTATAACAATAATTTTCTTTTTAAATAACTTAATTCTTGAAAAACTATCAGAAAATTATTATTTAGAAATTATTTAGAGAATAATTTTAAAAATTTTTATAAATACTAGATTTATGGAAGAATTTTAATTAAAAATAATAAAAAAAAATTGAATTTAGAAAAGTTACAAATAATTCCAGAAATTCAATTATTTTGCAAATTTTTTTGAAAATTCTCTTTAAATTTACAAAATTATTGATAAATTTCTTCGAAATAATTCAATTATTTTCATAAGTAATAAAATTTTTACAGGAATTCAATTATTTAAAATAAAAAATTTCATAAAATTTTTCGAAAAATGTCAATTAAAGATTCTTATAAAATTCGTCGTAAGAATTCAATTGTTTAAAAAAAATGTAACAAAGTCCATTTCAAGAATTCAATTATTTTTAGAAATAACAAAAATTCTTCACCGAAATTCAATTATTTTTATAAACTTGAATAAAATTTATTGCAAGAATTTAATTATTTATATAAATAATAAAATTTTTCACAGAAATTCAGTTATTTTTATAAACTTGAATAAAATTCTTTGGAAGAATTCAATTATTTTCAAAAGTAATGAAATTCTTCACAGAAATTCATTTATGTTCAAAAATTTTTTAAAAATTATTGTCAATATTTCAAGTATCTCTATAAATAATAAAATTCTTCTCCGAAATTCAATTATTTTAGAAAATTTTTAATATAATTCTTAGGAAAATTTTAATAATTTATATAAATAATAAAACTCATCGCAGGATTTTAATTATTTTTAATACAATCTTAATTGAATTCCTCGAAAAATGTAATTATTCTTAAAAATTTTATTTAAATTTGTCAAAAGAATTCAATTATTTAAAAAATTGTTGATAAAATTCTTTATGAGAATTCAATTTTAACAAACATTTAATTATTTAATAAATTATTTATTTTTTAATTTAAATAATTGAATTCTTCTAAAATTTTCTAATAAAAATTAATTTAAAAATGAATTACCGAATAATCGATTTATTATTTTTGAAAATAATTGAATTCTTGCAACGAGTATTATTACATTTTTTTTTTAAATAAATGATATTTTGTGAGAAATTTTCTTTTGAAAATAATTGAATTCTTGAAAAAGATTTTTTTTTAGGATTTTTGTAAATAATTATTATAACTTATTTTAAAAAATTTTATGGTAATTTAAATTGTTGAATTTCAAAAAGGTTTGAATTTGAATGTTTTGAAGAATTTTAATTCCTATACAGAAAAATAATAATGATTAAATGTTTATTTAAAAAAGAAGTTATTGATGTTTTCGAATAATTTTACAATTAAAGAAATTTGTAAATAAATGTAATAGAACATTTTTATGAGTATCTAATAATTTTTGGAGTGAATTAGAATATTCTTTAGGGTGTGAGGGAAAAAGTGAAAATTTTTTCTGGAAATCAGGGAAAAGTCAGGGAAAAATAAAATTAAATATTTGTTGCAATTTTGAACTTGGTACTCGGGGGTTTTCGGGTTCGCTAATGACGAATATAATGTCAGATTTTCAAAATTCAAAATGGCGGATCCAATATGGATTTATCCGATGATAAATGTTCAGAATGTGACCAAAATAAAAGAAAAGTAATTTGAAGGATTAAAAATGAAGTTTGAGTTAAAAGTAAAAAATTATAAATATTGGCCATCTCTCCCGGACATTCCGGGACACACTTTTTACAAAATGTAAATTTTGAGATTGTTCCTATGAAAATATTTTATTTTTCGTTACTTTAAAGTTAAGTGTTCAATGTTTAATTATCAATAAAAGTTTATAGACATAAATCGCTTTTTTATAATTTTTACAGTACTTTAAAAAAAGTATGGCCATCTCCCCCGGACTTACCCTAAATAATAATTTTATCAATAAATAAACATTTGTTCTTCCAACCAATTTAAAGTTAAAAAATCTTCATAAGTGACGCGTAATTTTGAACATGTTTTCAATCATTCTTTTTGTTTATCATCAGTCATCGATTTTTGACATATTGTACTTTCATACTGTTTTTAATTGAGGGTTGAATTGGATCTTCTGTGAACACACACATATATCTGTATATATATAGTTTTTCTTTTGAATCGGAAAGATATGAGGTCAGAATGCTCATGCGTTGTGGGATTTGGGTGGTTTCGCGCATTCCGCTTTCTCAAATGTTGCCCCTGCGCGTAACTTAGGATATAAAACGAACAGCATCAGCTGCGAGATTCCAGTTTGTACGCGGTACCGGTTCCGCGGTTTTTCATTCTACGTGTGATTTTACGTCATGACGGTGTTCGGTTTTATTTATTTATTTATTTTTGAGTGAAATGCCGCTTTTTTAATTAATACGAAATAAAAAAAAAAAAAAATTTACAGTTTCATAAGCTGCCATTTCTTCTAACATCTTTGGGATTACTCTACACGGATGTATGTTAATACTATTAAGGATTAATTTTAATTTAATGTTGTTTATCGTTTAGCAATTTTTGCAACAAGGCTTTTTCAATGTATTCTTTAAAATGAAATTATTTTTTAAACTCTGTCCTAATTATTAAAGTGGTTCTAAACTATTAGTTATTTTTACATGTTTGAATATTTTATAAATTGAATGAATAATTTTTTTTAAAATAATTTATTATTAATTTACTCTTTAAAATTAGGTAAAAAATATTTTAATTAATTGAAAAATTAACTAACTGAACTATTTTGTTTTCTTCTTGATTGAATTACTCGAAAAATCGTCGTTAAGGGTAAAAATAAAAAAATTATGTTTTTTCTAAAAATTTTGCTTATAAAATATTTTTTCCATACTTTTAATAGTTACAAAAATAATTATTAAAAATTAAAATACATGAATTATTAAAAATAGAAAAAAAAAAATTTGTCCTGATTAAGAAAATATTTCGTTTGAAGTCAAAGTCACAAGAATATCCCTTATTTCGAGAGAATTATTTCTTGTTTACAATATATTTTTACATTTTGGTTTTTTGGATTCTTTCGCTTTTTTTTCTTCTTTTCTTTATGTTCACTATTGGAGTCGTTAGAATTCAACACAAAACATTCAGAGGCGTTGCACTCGCTTCAGTGATTTTTTAACATTCGGGGATCTTTTAGAAGAAAACTTTTCGTTCCACATTTCAACGAGATGGAGAGAGGGAGAGAGAGAAAAAGAGTTGACTCTCAAAGAACTTGCGTTGGAGTGGCATTACTTTGATTTTTCATTTTAAGCATGAGATTATCAAGACTCGAACTTTTTCGATTTACTTGAAATTTAATTAAAATAATAACTTTATTTATTTATTTATTTTCAAACTTTTATCACTTTGACATGAATGATATTTAATTTAAATTATATACTTTTTGTAAAAAAAAAAAATAATAAATTTTAATATTCAATATATATATTTATTTCCATATAAATCAATATTTCAGTCCCGGGTTTCAATCTCCCTAGTCTTAATTTTTCAAATTTTAAAAATAAATTTAAAAGTGAATATTTACTGTTCATATTATAATTACGAATGAAAAATTTATCAAAGAAATGGATAAACATAAAATTATTAATGTTAATGGAAGCTTGTTGGTGATTATATTTTTGACTGAAAATTTGCTTCGCTGGAAAATGATAAAAAAAGAAGGAGTCAATAAATAATTTAGCTTATTTGAATATTCAGAAAGCAATCCTTTGCCACCGAGATTCTGACATCAACAGAATGTACTTGCATGTGTTTGGCTTTAGTCGTAAAAAATTTAAATAAAATAGAAAAGATTCTTTTTGAATAAAATCTTATCTTTCTTCATCTCGAAAATCCAGGATTTATGTGTAAGCCCTGCATTGCATTTTTCGGTTCAGGGAATTAAGTATAAAGATTGGATTTAATTTTGTCGTGTTGAAAAAAATCTACTCAATATTATATATAATATATATAATATATATAATATTTTTGTTATCTTTAGATAGATTGTGTATTATTTTCAAAAATTTTAATAAAATTTCACAAAAGAATACAATTATTTTCTAAAATTTTAATAAATATCCTTCTAAACAATTCAATTATTTTCTTAAATAGTACAATCTTTACAAGAATTCAATTATTTTCAAAACAATTTTAATTAAATTCCTCGGTAGAATTCAATTTTTGAAAAAAATTTTAACACCTTTCGAAAAAATTCAATTTTTTTCTAAAATTTTAATAAATCCTTCAAAAAAATTCAAATATTTTTATAAATAGTAAGATTCTTCGCAAGAATTCAATTAATTTTATAAATAGTAAAATTCTTTGCAGAAATTCAACTATTTTCAAAACAATTTTAATTGAATTCCTCGGATGAATTCAAATATTTTTAAATATTTCCATAAATTTCAATTATCATGAAATTTTAATAAATCTTTCGAAACAATTCAACTATTTTTGTTAATATTAAAAATCTTAACAGGAATTAAATAATTTTTAATACAATTTAAATAAAATTACATGAAAGAATTTAATTATTTTCAAAAATTATCATAAAATTCAATTTCAACAAGAATTTAAAAATCTCTAAAAATAATTTTATTATCCTCAAAATATTTTAAAAAAATTCTTCATAAAAATTGAATTACTTTGAATGCAATTTTTAAATATATATTCGTCAAAAGAATTGAAAGGATTCAATTATTTTCAAAAAATAATAAAATTTGTTTGATAAGAATTCAATTATATTTTAAATATTCTTAATTTTAATAAAATTCTTTAAAGAAATTCAATTATTTTCGAAACAACTTTAAATGAATTTCCCGAAAAATTTTATTATTTTTAAGTATTTCTATAAAACAATTTAATTACTTCTTAAAATTTTAATAAATTTTTCGAAACATTTCAATTATTTTTATAAATAGTAAAATTCTTCGCAATGATTCAATTATTTTTATAAATAGTAAAATTTTTCGCAATGATTCAATTATTTTTATAAATATCTAGTAAAATTTTTTGCAGAAATTCAATTCTTTTCAAAACACTTTTAACACTTTTAATAGAATTACTGTAACTTCATCAAAATTATTTTCATCATGTTAATTGAATTATTATTTTATAGAATTTTAAATTATATTTTATGAAAATAATAATTGAATTCCTTAAAAAAAATTTATTATTTATGAAAATAATTGAATTTCTGTGAAATTTTTATTATTTATGAAAATAATTAAATGTTTGCATACAATTTTATTAAACTTTTTTTTAAATAATTAAATTCTTTTTTGGAGAAAATTTATTAAAATAGTAGATATTGAAAATCATTGAAGTTAAAAAATTTTTTGAAAATAATTGAAATTAGAACAAGAATTTTTTTGACAATTATGAAAATAATTGAACTTTGGAGAAGAATTTTGTTTTTTATAAAGATAATTGGGATTTTTACGAGAATTTTTTTCAAATATTGACCATAGTTGAATTTTATAAGAAGAATTTTATTTTTTTTTTGAAAATAGTTGAATTTCTGCAATTATTTGTAATTTCTCCAAAATTAAATTGTTTTTAGTGTTTTCAACAAACTGTGTAGCAATGCATTTGTTTGTCTGATTCAATTAAAATTTTGTTGTTTGAAACAATGTTTTTTACTGTAAGTGTAAAAATAATTATAATTAATAATAAATAATTATTTTAACAATAAAAATAATAATAAAAAACTCAGCCCTCTTGTAAAAAAGTAAATAATTATTGTTACTTTAAAAATAGTAACAATAATTATTTTCCACAATGTGATTAATATGTGGATTTTTCTCTGAAAAATATATTTTGGAACTGTCCAAGTAAAGTGATATTCACATGTCGTTTAAGATCACTGAACCTTGTAAAACTATGTTTGACATATACATTTATTTATATCAGACAATTCTAAATGTTCGACGTGGAAAATAAAAACAAAAAAGAAAATGACATATTATAGATAAAACAATAACATGAAAAAGGACGAGAAAAAAGAAAATAGTAAAATTTAAATAAAAAGAAAGTAGAATTGAAAAAATAATTAGAATTTCAGGCTAACAAAGAAGAAATCAAAATACAGGGAATATTGGTCGGCGGTAATTGGAAAACAATTTTTCAATCTTATCATGTTTCGTTTGTAAAATTAAAAAATGAATAATTTTCCAATCATGCGAATGAAACTATTTTTATACATTGTATGTGTAGATGTTCTTATTCTGTTTTGTTCATGAGCATTGAAGTTATTTTCATATTTTGTTTTTTGGGAAAATAAAATTTTTTTGAAAAATAATAAAATTGAAAAAATTGGTTAACAAAATAGAGGATATAAATTAAAGAAAGAAAGAAAACTGAGAATATTTTCCTATTTTTCACTTGTGATATATTATTCTATTTTGAATATTTTGCTCTGTACTAAAATATATTATCAATAGCTACTAAATTTTAAAAATGATAATAATAAAAAAAAATAATAATAAAATAATAATAAAAATACAAATAATGATAATAATACTAATGAATATTAATGTTTTAGTTGTATGTGCAATTATTAATTATGTATTATTGTGATTAAATTAATTTGAATATTTTAGTAATTGAAGCAACAATGTTTTGTTATTAATTCAAGGAGGACACGCTGTTTGAACTCGGAGTTTAATAATTAATGCCTGATTAAATTCCTGATGAGCATTGACCTAAGCAGGATGGGTTATTTATAAGTAGCTGTGAAGCTTTAGTGAAGGATTACCTGAATTCCCTTTCTAAAATTTTATTGAAAAATATTTTAAGATTTCAAAAGCGAAAACTACTAAATTAAGTATTTAATGATTATAGTAATAGAAAATTACAGTAAATTGTTTAATAATTTTAAAAATCCTAATTAAAATCTTTTGAAGAATTTCTTTGAATTTTTTTTTAAACTAAATGGAGTTTCTTTAATGATTTTAATTAAATATTTTGAAAGCACTTGAATTTTATTAAATTTGTATTGAAAATAATTATAAATTTTTGCGAAGAATTTTACTATTTATAAAAGTAATTGAATTATTCCGAAGAATTTTACTATATTTATGAAAATAATTGAAATGTTTTGAAGAATTTATTGAAATTTTAGAAAAAAATTTGAATTTTTTCGAAATGTGTTAAAATTTTTTTTTAAAAATTGAATTCTTCCGAAGAATTTAATTAAAATTGTTTTGAAAATAATTGAATATTTGTTAAGATTTTACTATTTAAAAAAATAATTGAATTGTTTAGAAGGATTTATTAAAATTTTAGAAAAAAATTGTATTCTTTTGTGAAATTTTATTAAAATTTTCATTCAATTATAATATAACCATTAAATCGGTTCATTCATTTGGGAGAAATAAATTTTTGTTTAAAAAGTTGCAAAGAAATTTATTTTGCAATAACCTTTATAAAAAAAATTATTTTTTTCTCTTCTTTAGTAGACACATTCCT